GCATTTCTGAAATAAACCAAGTTAGTGTGCTCTAGTAACATTTTCATATATTTTTTATCCGTTGACTAATAATGTTTAGGATTGAAAAATATATTTTCATGAGAAATATTGGCATGTCCTTTTTAAATAATTTTCTTGTTGGGTTTTAATACCTATGTTACAGGGTATCATATAATGAGCTGAGAAGAATTGCCTGTTTTTCTATTATGGGAAAGATTTTCTTACGTGTTTACTAGATGTTACAAGGAGATTTTTTTCTGTGGGAAGATTTTTAAATCTCTTTATTGAAATAGAACTGTTTATATTTTTATATGTTCTTGATTCTTATGGGAGTTTGTATATTTTATCTAAGTTTTCAAATTTCTCTGCATGAAGTGTCAACAATGTCGCCAGATGATGTTATTAAGTTTCATAGAATCAATTAGTATTCCCTTTTTATTCCTGACACCGATTATTTGTGCCTTCTCTTTTTTTCTTGCCCTAAATGTTTGTCAGTTTTTTAAATATGTTTTTATTGATTTTTAGAGAGAGAGGAAGGGAGAAGGATAGAGATATATAGAGAGAAAAACATCATTTGTCGGCTGCCCCCTGCATGCCCCCTACTGGGGATCAAGTCCGAATCCCTGGCTGGGAATTGAACCAGTGACCTCTTGGTTTATGGTCGATGCTCAACCACTGAGCCACACAAGCCGGGCATGTTTGTCAATTTTAATAATCTTTTCCAAAAAACAGCACTTTTTGTATATCCTCTCTTTTGTATGATTGTCTTCTGTATCAATAACATTTGCCCCTATCTTCCTTTTCTTTAAAATTTGTGGGTTTTTTGGCTGCTTTTTTCCCAAGATCTGGAGATGGATGTTCAGATGGTTGACTTTTAGACTTCTTTTTCTGACATGTGTATTTAGAACTAGAATTATAAACATATCTATAACTAAATCCTAAATTTGGATATGTCATTTTCCATTGGTGTTCTCTACTTTCTAGTTATCATTATGATTTCTTTATAAAACGTATGTTATTCAGAAGTATACTAACTAGTACACTATCTCTTCATGTATTTTTATGTGTTTTTTTGACCATGATGTTATCATGTCACCCTTTCATCCCTGTCTTTAACTTCAGGCTGTTTTACAATCGCAGGTGTTTCTCATTTGGTATTGGCGAAGGAGCCTCCACCAGCCTCATAAAAGGCATTGCCCGGGCATCAGGGGGCGCCGCAGAATTTATCACAGGCAATGAGAGGATGCAGTCGAAGGTGAGGGGCAGGCCTGTGTCCAGGGGGGCAGTCCAGAGGGAGTGGGGGCAGGGGGCACCCTGCTGCAAGAGCTGAGGCAAACTATTGCCTCTGGGATTCATTTCTTTATATTCCCAGGGCTTTGGGCTATAGACTCAATGGGACTACTTTTGTCTTTATGTGAACGGGGCCCCGGTAGTTTCTGGGGAAATGGCATCTAGTCCCAGCAGTTGGAAGTCCAGCAACAAAATGTGGAAGAGGTCAGGGCTTTGTGTTGAAAACAAGAAGGAGAGAAACTTAAGAATTTTGCCTGCTGAGCTTGGCATTCCAGTTTGTGTGCTTTAGGGCCCGGTGGGTCCTGGTGTCTCTCCTCCATGCAAATGACACAAAGAACACAAGCAGGATGGCCCTAGCCAGTTTGGCTCAGTGGATAGAGCTTTGGCCTGCAGACCAAAGAGTCCCGGGTCCCATTCCGATCAAGGGCATGTACCTTGGTTGCAGGCTCCTGCCCGGGCTGGGCCCTGGTCAGGGCTCAGACAGGAAGCAACCCATCAATGTGTTTCTCTTACATCCATGTTTCTCTCTGTCTTTCCCTCTCTCCCACTCTCTCTGAGGATGGATGGAAAAATATCCTTGGGTGAGGATTAACAACAACAAAAAACAAACAAGAAAACCCCACACAGAAACAAGAAGGACAGCTGTAGTATGTCTGTAGGTGGAAGAGGCGGTAAACTGCTACTCCGTTTGATGAGTCAGCACAAGGAGGCATCCTCCACCTCTGGTTATAGTGCTGCTTTCCTCTTCCCCAGTTGGTGCCATTTCTTATCGAATGCCTACTTCTCTGTTACTTTATACACATTTATTACGTGTCTCTGCCTTAGCTTCCTCGTGTGTAAAGGAAAAGAACATCCATCTCCTAGTGGAGTACTAGGGAGTAGGTCAACCATGGGTTGGGCTGCAAGCTCCTGGGGCATGATGAACACTCAGGTAGGAGTAGGTATGGTTGCCATTATGTACTTGTGGTGTTTATTCTGTTCTCTTCCCTCCGCCAGGCTCTCAGGGCCCTGAAGCGCTCTCTGCAGCCTGTGGTAGAGGATGTTTCTCTGAGCTGGGATTTGCCTGCGGGTCTGTCTGCTAAAATGCTTTCCCCAGAACCAAGTGTCATCTTCCGGGGTCAGAGGTTGATCGTCTATGCCCAGTTGACTGGGACGATGCCGGTGAGATTCCATTCTTGCTTGTTCCTCTAGCCAGAGTCGCCACTGCCCCGAGCTCTGCTCCGGACGCTTGCCCGACAGGGTCAGCCTCCCTCCCCTCCCCATCATGTCAAGCTTCCGGTTTTCTGAACTACCTGGTTTCTAGCCAGAAACTTTAAATGTGTGGGGTTGGGGAGCTGCCCCGATTCTGCCATCTCTCCCTGGGTGATCTCTCCCTCCCATCCTGTCTCCTCTTCTCTACCTTTCAGCCAGCAGAGGCAACAGGGAAAGTTTGCCTCAAGTACACCCTCCAGGGCAAGCAGTTTGAGAATCAAGTGGCGTTTTCTCTACAGCCCAAGTCGGATGCCAAGTAAGATTTCCATTTTTCTTTCCTAGTTCCTTCCTTTTCTTTCTCCTTCCCTTCCCTCCCCTTCCCTTTCTTCTTGTCTCTGCCATCCTTGGGGGTCAGTTTCCTGCTCTTCATTTCGGGCTCAATGATTTCCCTAAAATCACTTTTCCTTTTCCGGCCCCTCAGATTTCATCCCACCCCTATCTTTATGTTCCTCCCTGCGGCATCCCTAGCCTGTCAGGGCTCTGAGTAGCGGCACAGGTGAGCTTCTCCCTGAGTCACAGGAATCTTTTTTCTGTCAGCCTCACCATTCATCGCCTGGCTGCCAAGTCCTTCATCCAGACCAAGGACATGGGCTTCGAGGAGACTCCAGCAAATGACAAAAAGGAGGTGCTGAAAATCAGCATGGAGTGCGGCGTCATAAGCTCCCACACGGCTTTCATTGCCATCAACAAGGATCTCAACAAGCCGCTTCAGGGACCCCTGACTCGCAGCGACGTTCCAAGTCCAATGCTATTTGCTCAGTCTATGATGATGTGTTCTCCTGGTATGCCGAGTGGTGCTCTTTTTCGGGTGTGTTGTAGTTCTCCTCGGATGGGTAGTGCTCCTGGTCCGATGTTTGGTGCTTCTGCTCCGATGTTTGGTGCTTCTGCTCCGAAATCACAGACCAGACTTAAAAGTAAGTTTTATTCTAATCAAACTCACATAAAATAAGGGGCCCTGTATACCTGGATACATCATTTAAAGCAAATGTTTATGAAAAGTCCTTCCCTCCCTACCCCCCTTGTCTCTCCACATCTAGGATCTCTGGCTGTTGTAAAACTTTTCTGTCCTAGAAAACTAGACATTACACCATTAGCAAGAAAATGTAAAGCACTCCAAGGGGGGAAAAATGAGGGAAATGAAAGAGAAAGTGCATATAAGCATTGAGTAGTTACACTGCCTAAATCTGAAGCTGAGGTATCCTATTGATACTGGTTAATGATTACACAAATGGCAGGCAAACAACCTGGTAGTGCTAGGAAATGGGTGCTGATTGCTGGGCTGTCTCAGACGTAAACCAGAACTGGAGAGAGAAATGCTCAGGGAGACAGTGCTTTTGTCAAGGAATGTTGAAGGGCCGATCAGCTGCAAGGTCTGACTGAGATCACCATGGAGGATCAGCTAGGCAGCGACCCACCTCACAGAACAGAACTTGCTTCAGCAGGGCTCGGGTACCTGTTAAGTCCACCCCATGAGTACGACGCTTGTGGAGGTGGTGGGGTGGTGATGCTTTGACATGGTCTGAAGCTGTCCACTGGGTACACTGGCTCTGGGGACTCCTGGGAGATTCAGGCCAAGGTCAGCCACTGCCTTTGTTTTGCCCCAGGGCCACCCAGCATGAGCTACAAAATGATCTGCAGATGGCTGCTACTTGTGTTGAGCTTGGAGGTGCCTAGAGAAGCCAAGCTACAAACCAAGGCTGGCTGTGGCTAGTGCCGGGCCCAGGGTCACTTGGCAACAGGTACCAGGCCAGATACTGCTTATTTGAGAGATTTTAGGAAAATATGAAGCATGAGCCAAGACAGGCCATTCTGATGGTAAAGCCACTAGAAACAGCTGGTGTGGACAGGGCCTCCGGGAATCACCAGGGTGGGGCTAACAGTGTTAATCCAGGTTGATGGAGACTCAGATATGGTGGCCACCTGCTGGCTCTTTGGTGGAAGGTTCAGCAAAGGAACAATGGCCTCTACCAGTGCTTCTGTCTGGAAGAAAGCTGCCCATCCAGCTCTTGCTGTGATGCCAGGCCATTCAGTACCTCCCTGTATGTCTCAGGTGCCTTTCAAATAGCTGCCCCATGCTGGAGCTCTGAGGAGTGAGTCCCAGTTAGTCCATATGTGGACTCTTTAGGAGGAACTGCTTGGGACTCCTGCAGCCTCTGTCTCCCTCAGCCTCGTCCCTCACTGTTTTTTATAACCAGAAGTTATGGGGACTTTTCTTCCCAGCACTGGAACCCTGGGCTGGGGACTTGGTGTGGTGCTCGGACCCCTGGCTCCTCAGGGGGTACCTCTATAGCTGAGACATCCCCACTAGTTTTTATCTGCCCCACATGGGTGTGGCACCAATCCCTCCTACCAGTGTGGATATGGCTTCTTCTTTAATTCCATAGTTCTAGGACTTCCATTGAGCTTGACTTCAGGCAGTTCTGAAGGATGGTTGTTCTGTATTTTAGTTGTAATTTTGATGTGGTTGTGGGAGGAGGCAAGGATACTGCATTTATTTATACCACCATCTTGTTTGGAATTTCTGGATATTCTATTTTTAAAGTATTTGTTTTTTTTTTCAATTAGTTCTTTACAGGTGGAACAATTCTGCTTGATAATCAGATATCTTGGCTTAGGTGAGAGTGGCTGGAGTAGAGTGGAGGTTGAAGCCATTTAATTGATTTGAGGAGGACAAGAAGCTTTGAATTAGGGTGCTGGATAGGTTATGTACATGGGTGCTTAATCTCTAAAGATGATGGCAGACTTTGCAAGGAAGTGAAAGTCTTTGATCTAGTTTTCAGGTACTTCAGTGGGTGTTGAAAATGGACAAAGAATTTGGAGGTTGACAGCACCTGGAAGGTAATTTAGGTGAAGCTGAAGAGTCATGCTATGGATGTGGCCATTTGGACTGAAGAGGTTGCCAACCCCACCTACCTCACCTCTCAAACATGGATGCGTGGGTTCTGGTACCTGGAGCAACCACCATTTGAGAAGGCTAGAGGGAGAAAAGATTTCTAGGAAGAAAAATTAGTTTTGAGTTGAGATGAGTGGTTGAAGGAAGCCTCTGATAATGAAACTAAAGATGCAGAAAAGATCATTGTCATGTGTCAGCAGGACACCATTGGAAGGGCATGGAGGCTGCAGAATTTGGGCTCCTGGGAGAAGAAAAAAATGCACAGTAAAAATGATGACTGAGGCTGACACAGAAAGGAGCATATATATGTCTCAAATTATCAGGGCCCATTGCCTACAGCAGAGAGCATAGGTTGCCTCAGTGTCAATGGCTATATTGTGTTTTTTGAGCTCATACAAAGCCCTATTCTCCTACCATCCTTCCGCATCTCTGCCCAACTCATACCAGAGCATGTCCTACCCGAAGAATGGTTACGATCCCCATAGGTTCACAATTAACAAGAGCCTGCATTCTCTAGGTGAGCATCTTCCCAGGGATATTTTCTCACTACGGCTTGTCTGTCACACATATAGAAATGAAGAGATTTCTAAAGCGTGGTGGTGGTCCTATATCAGTGAAACACCAGCCTGACGTGGAGCAGTATGATGATTGTTATGATTCCGGTGAAATGTCACGGGAAGGTTCTTCCATCGACATGACCGACTTGGAAACTAACCATTCAGGTGAGACGACCCTCAGCTCTCTTTCCTAATCTATGGGAACTGAAGAGCTCATCCTCCGTGTTCTGCTGTCTTGTGGCTTTCTCTACCCAGGAGGTGATCGGTTGGAGAAGTGTCAGGACAGAGGGTAAAATTTCCCAGTCTTTTTGTCAGGGCCAAGCCCCGCTTCCATAGTCTACAACACAGGACACTGAAGCCTGCCCCAGTGGAGTTCAGGATGAGCCCCTCTGCCATCTCATCAGCTCGCACGCCTTGCCTACTGACAGGGGCCCTCCTCTTGCAGAACCCTCCTGCCAGCCTGTTTGGGCCCCAGCCGCATGAATCATTCTCTTACAGGTTGGGTTTGAAGACCGACCTTTTTTTTATATATATATTTTATTGATTTTTTACAGAGAGGAAGGGAGAGGGATAGAGAGTCAGAAACATCGATGAGAGAGAAACATCGATCAGCTGCCTCCTGCACACTCCCTAGTGGGGATGTGCCCACAACCAAGGTACATGCCCTTGACCGGAATCTAACCTGGGACCCTTCAGTCCGCAGGCCCACGCTCCATCCACTGAGGCAAACCGGTTAGGGTGAAGACCGACCTTTTTCATGCTTCCTGATGACTTTCTGTCACTACAAGCTGTTCCTTGGTCATTTCATTGCCTTGTGTCCCAAACACCTGGGTAGTCAAAGTACATGTTACCTAAAATAGGCTTAAAGGCAACTTCCGTCTAGTCTCTTCCCGTTTTGCAGCAGGTGTTTATGGTGTCCAATCGTTTCATCGTTCCAACATCTTTGCCACTTATTCTCTCTCTATGCATTCTTCTCACGCTGCTAATACAGAAAGGGCTTCGAGGTCTAAGGTAGATTCAGATCTCTTGTTGAATACCAGTTACTGTGGGGTCTTAAGAAAATTAGTTAACTTTTTATTTGTTTTACTTTTTAGAAATATTTTTATTGATTTCAGAGAGGAAGGGAGAGGGAGAGATAGAAACATCCATAATGAGAGAGGATCATGGATCGGCTGCCTCCCACACACCCCCTACTGGGGATCGAGCTCTCAACCCCAGGCCTGTGCCCTGGCAGGAAATTGAACTGTGACCTCATGGTTCATAGGTCGATGCTCAACCACTGAGCCACACCAGCCGGGCAAGGTAACTTTTTAGAGCCTTAGCTTCCTCCGCTGCACTATCATGCACCGCCTCATGAGAACTTCCTTCATGTTATCCACGGAGTAGGTTCTCAGTGCACCGTAGTGTTGGTTTCCTGCGCTGTCCTAAAACCTAGTCACTAGCAATATCCCCACTATAATGAGCTTCCTCTCTCATGGAGCCTCTTACTAATGTAGAGAGAAGAAGTTCCCAGCAACTACTATTTGCTGGGAGCCATTTCAGCGCCTTTCTGGGTCCTGGATGTTTTTCCTCACACATCAGGCCTTATTGTCTCCCGTTTACAGAGAAGGCTGTGATTTCTGTGGGTTAAGTAACTATTAGATTTTGAGTGCAGGCAGACCTGAGATTCAAATGCAGACTTCTGATATTCAGAACCTTAGTTGTTGTTGTTTTTTTCCAATTAGAGTAGAACTGTTTTTCTTGCCTACTAATTTCTAATTTGCACTGAGTATATCATCCCATAGGATAGCTATCCAGATGTGAGATGCTTTCTATGAAAATTCTGTGGTCTTCAAGCAGCTTTTACACCATCAGGATTGGACACTATACTACGTTTTAAACATGTTTTTATTGATTCTTAGAGAGGAAGGGAGAGGGAGAGAGAGAAACATCGATCATGTGCCCTGACTGGGAATCAAACCCGTGACCTCCCAGTGCATGGGACGTTGCTCATCCAATTGAGACACACTGGCCACAGCTAGACTGCTCTTTGAGGTAGACTGCTAACTGCTTCCTTTATTTATGCCTGCTCTCTTTTGACATTTTTGATCATTAAAATTCAAGCTATATTTATCTAGATGTTTGTTTTTAAATCCTCACCCAAGGATATTTTCCCATTGAATTTTAGAGAGAGGGGAAGAGAAAGGGAAAGACAGAGAGAAATATTGGTATGAGAGAAACACATCGATTGGTTGCCTCCTGCATGTGCCCTGACCAGGGCCCAGGCCGGGAAGGAGCCTGTAACTGAGGTACATGCCCCTGATCAGAAACAAACCTGGGACATTTCGGTCCGCAGGATGACGCTCTATCCACTGAGCCAGACCGGCTAGGATTATCTGTAATTTTTTAATATACCTAACGTTTTAAGGGTCATTGCCACAAGACTGGATAAGACTTTAAATAGCACTATCATGTGAGTTCTTTAGTGCCCCATATCTTCCTCTCCTTTCTGAATTTTTAAGTGCATCTCTCCTAGTGGCAGCACAACACTGGGGTGGCCCGCATTGTCACAGAGAAAATACATGTCACCTGGGTGAGGACCGAGATGGGGAACTTGGTAGGATCTGCACTCTTGCTATAGCCCAGTGATGGCGAACCTATGACACGCGTGTCAGAGGTGACACGTGATCTCATTTTTTTGGTTGATTTTTCTTTGTTATATGGCATTTAAATATATAAAATAAATATCAAAAATATAAGTCTTTGTTTTACTATGGTTGCAAATATCAAAAAATTTCTATATGTGACACGGCACCAGAGTTAAGTTAGGGTTTTTCAAAATGCTGACAAGCCGAGCTCAAAAGGTTCGCCATCACTACTATAGCCTTTCTCTGGATTCAGACTCCCTCCCTGACGTATGCCAAGGGGCCAAATTAAACTTCCTAGTTTCTCATCTTCTTTCTTTTTTTTTTTCTCCCCCAAAATCTTTGAAGATGATCCTCTTGTACAGCTGATTTCCCTCCAAAAGGCAGATGGTTCCTGGGATCTGAATGAAGGTCTGGCCGTGGTCCTGGGTATGAGCTTGGGAGATATGCAGGCTGCACTCCCTGTCAAGGTGAGACTCGGGGAAGAAAAAAGGAGTTTGTCTATTTTTGAGAAGTTGGGTCAGTAAAGAGAATTGGATGGATCATGACTCACCTGAGGAAGCAGAATATAGGAGATCATACACTACGTAAATCTCTAATAAATAGAGGTTGAAGGTATTTCCTGGGTAGGTTAGAACAGAAGGAACAAGGACCTCATGGTCCAGCCAGTAGGAGATGATGGATGACAAAGGGAACGCAGAAATTCTCTTTTTCTTTGACTGATTCTCTGCCATCCATCTTAGTGATAATAACAGCTGTTCATTGAGCAGTTACACACTGTGCTACACACTTAACTTTCATGATCTTATTTTTTCATCACAACAATGAAGAAAGGTAAGTCCTATTTATGTTGCTGTTTATAGATGAAGAAGCTGAAACCCAGAGAAGTATAATAATGAGTCTAAGTTTACCTAACTAGTTAGTGGCAGAGTGGGGTTCAATTCTAGGACTGACTACCTTTCGAACCCACATTATTGCTCCTCTTCTTAATGAGGAAGCTGTCCAGAAATTAGCAAAATCTAAGTTAGGAATATGATGTATAAACAGGGATGATATAATTATTGTAAATGGATTCAAGTCTGCTGATGAGGACAAATTACTTCTTAGAATTTCAAGATAGCTTACTAATCGAGATATTGTGAAATAGAAGACAAATGCCAAAAGCCTGGAAGGCAATGTGGTTTTGAATTTATCAAATCTGGAAGGTGATTCAATAAACCTCAGATATCCTATAATTACAACAGCAATACAGTATCTACTAGTTCGATGTAACTGTCAAGCTCTTCAAATATGGTCAATGCAAATGAGGAAGTACATTTTTAATTGAATTGAAATGTGCTATAATTGTGAAATGCATTCTGATTTTATAAACTTGATATAAAAAGGAATGTAAAATATTAGTTATTTTATATGGATTATATGTTATATAAGTGGTTGACTGTGTACCTATGCACCAGGAGGTCAGGGTTTGATTCCCAGTTAGGTCACATGCCCTGGTTGCAGGCTAGATCCCCAGTAGGGGGCCTGCAGAAGGCTATCAATCAATGATTCTCTCTCATCATTGATGTTTCTGTCTCTTTCTCCCTCTCCCTTTCTCTCTGAAATCACTAAATATATCTATCTATCTATCTATATTTATATATTTTTAATAAAACTATATTTTGAAAATACTTTAAAATATACCAGGTTAAATAAAATATATTATTGATAACATAATTGTACTTTTTTATTTTTACATGTGGCTGCTAGAATTCTTAAAAGTATATCTCTATTGAAAAGACTTTCCTAAAACAGACAATTACAAAAGTAATTTATAAATAATTTATTAATTTGATTAACAAATATAATGAATTTATAGACAATTCAAAGAGGACATTAAGGATCATGAAGATCTAGCTCGGTTTCATTGAGAACAAGACATGTTAGACTAACACTTTCTTCTTGGACATGGTAACTTAGCCAATAAATGAACAGAATGAAGAGCCCTGGTGTATCTGAATTTCATTAAGGAATTTGAGCTTTTCTTAATGATTAGTATATGGACTGGTTACAAACTACTTGGAAACCCATGGTACTGAATAATGAATTTATTCAAATGAAACAGATATGCAGATCCGCCAGTCTCTGATTCTCTGGGGGTCCATATTTTCAGTGAGTATTTAGGTGAAGATATAGACCAATACGATCCTATTTGTATGTGACAGAACTGGGAGATGGCGTAGTAGACAAGAAAATCAGGATCCCAAAAGACCTGAACAATGACTTGAACTTAAAAAAAAAAACAACAACCTGGCATAAACACTCTTTTTCATGCTAAATTCTCAACTATACAGGTAGAGAATAGAGGCCAAATGACAGGGGTTGCACATGAAAATTCGAGATTTTAGAGGACCATCAACTTATTATCAATCAGCGTATTTGAAACATGATTAGTTGAGGGCAAAAGGATTGTCAGGAAACCTTTATGTATTATACAATCTGGGGCTGGAGTCACGGAATTTTATAAGTACATTTACCTCCAGATGTGACCATCTAAATAGATATATTTTAGAAATCACTGTGTTTGTTTCTAGACTAGGAGAACAAACACGGGATTCTTACTGCTTTGACAGAAGTCCTCTTAAGGGAGAATGAAAGGAACCGGGAATTTTGATCTGAAACAAGTCTACTCAGAGGCCATGATAGCTGTTTCCAAATTTTAACCCTCACGATATAAAAGAATTTATTTTAATCTATTGTCTCTAAAATCTGGAATCGGGACCCGCAGGTGAAAACTCACCTTTTTCTGGTCTATGGACGACTTTCTGTTGAGCTGGATGAGCACTGTGACCTTGAATCAGAATGTTTGGTCTCCAGTCCCAGCTCCGTCATGTGCTAGAAGACTCACTTTGGGCAAATCATTTCACTTTTATATGCATCAGTTTTCTCTCTTAAACCATGTGGCTATTGGTAATTCCTCAATATGTTTTTGTGTTGGTGAGGGTTCAAATAAAAACACATACATGAAGATGCTTTGGAAAAAATAGAAAGCCACCATGCATGTGTGTTTTGTTGTTTTGTCATAGCTGGCTAATCCTCGTTAGGGGTGTCTTAGGAATTTCAAACAATGTCCTGGTGGTTACACTGCAATAAAAATTGAAGACATTTCTACCTTAAGACTCACTGGATGGTTGCCCTGAGGTTTAGGGCCTGGCATTGTGCCTTACAAGTCATAGAGCAGGTTAAGGGAGACCAGGTCACCTCATTTAGTAGCAATGAGTGGGGGGAGGGACCTGGTAGGTGAGGAGGGAGTGCAGGCTTCAGGGGCGTGTCTCTGTTGTAGAGTGTGGATTCCTCAGGCTGGGCCACTGTCCTGGCGGTGATCTGGCTGCATGACAAGTATAAGGACATGAAGTGCGAGTGGGAGCTTCTGGAACGGAAAGCTGTGGCCTGGATTCACAGCCATGCAGGTAGGAGCACCAGCCTGAGCCCTCAGCTCCTTCCCTCCTTAGAAAGCTCTGCATCTTCCTGGACATTGAGCCCCCAGGCTGTCCTGGTCTAGACCTTTTCGGTCTCCCAGCTAGTTCTCTCCTGGGCAGGATGAGGGTGCTGTCCTCCAGTGGGGGCAGTGGGAGGTGTGTCAAGAGGGAAAAGGAGCATCGATGGGGAGTGTGAGTTGGAAAAGGGACATGAAGTGGCATTTATTCTTCTCACTCTGTCTGTACTATACTGAGTGTGAGACTGAACTTGGGGCATTTCTTTTTTGAGTGTTTATTATCTCACTGCTGCTGGATATCTCTGGGGCCAGAGGGCAGGAAAGGGAATCTGGGGGATGTGATGAGAAAAGTGGGGGTGCTAAGCAAAGATACAAGCAGGACTCAGGGGAGATGACCTAGGAGGTTGAGGGGAGACTGGGAGAAAGGCACTTCCTCTCACTGTTGTCCCTCAGCCCTCATTTTTGCTTTCTCCTCACAGGCTCCGCCGCGGATGGGCTGGTGAAAGCTGCTGTGGGCTTTCTGAAGTCATCGGTGGATCCTGCCGTCTTTGCACCTTGAGGATCCCGACCAGAAACACACGTGCCTCCTTCGTGCTCCTGTCCCCTCCTGTCCCCTCCTTCTCCCAGAATGTGATCTTGTCTTGTATACTGTTGGAGACCGGGTGTAAGCTGACATGGTCCTTGCACCTGAAGGGGCTAGCAAGGCTGGGACCCTTACCCACACAGTTTTCCCAGACTTGTTTGGATGGCGGTTATCAGTAGAATGAGAGCAACCTCTGTAGAATGAGAACAGCCTTTCATGGCTTACCAAGAAGTCTGTAACTATTTACTGAGATTTGCTGTACAGAGAATTTGTCCTTCTGCTCTGTCCCTCCCTTAGAGATTAAGAGGAACAAAGAATACATTCCTCCTGACAGACCTCCTATTCAGTGTTTTGTGTATAAAAGGCATTGCGTGGTTAATAAACTGACTGCAGGTCCTCGATGGACCTGCAGTCCTCCCAATCCCGCTCTCCTGTCTTTCTTTTTTTTCTCAATTTCCACCTCCCTACCTCAGCCCGGTTCAACTTGTCAGGCTGGCCCTGACAGTATGCCTCTCCTGTCGGCTTCCTGTAATAAAAGTCAACAATGCCCTCCCCACCTTTACTCCATGTTCCAGGTTCCCTCCAGATATGACATCCTTTCCCCAGCATGTGCCCTCAGCCAGGCATCATGGCCCCAGACCTGTTCTCTTCCTGGAAGGAGTTCAGAGGCAGTGAGGTCCCTCCCGGGTTTTTCAGAGTGAGGACATGAGAAACAAGGGGTGTGGACTCTAGGCTACAGGTTGCTGGGTTGATGTTAGGGATTGCCTGGATTGGAAAGTTCTCTGCATTATTTGTTGTCTAATCAGTCTTGCTTTTGGGGACTTATGAGGACAAGACTGGTAAGCTATCCAGTTTTCTATTCTTAGGTAGAATAAAGAGATGGAGGGGCGGTTGACAGCCAACATTGGGATCCACATAACCTCCACATGAGGTTCAAGGGTCCACTGTGAGGGTTGGCACTGTTGGGGACCTTCTTGGTCGATTCTGCCTGGGTCTTGTTAGCTTATACTTCCCGCCTCCCCTCATACTGCCCAAGGGTTGAGTGGTAGCTGTGGGAGACAGATGTTTCTTCTTAATCAGGATGCATCTTAGTAAGAGGGCCATCATGGGATCCTTCGTCCTGGCCTGACCCGTGAGGCCTCTGAATCGGGCTCTGATCTAGTATACTTTTATAAAAAGCAGGGCTAAAGGCAGCTTTGCCTGAGACCCAAAACCTGGGCCACTCACCCCAAGAGAAAGAAAGGAGCTCCCAGTGATCATGCCTGACCTTGCAGTCCCACACACTCTATCCTAGTGGAAGGGACCCTATTGGATGTGTTGCTCCCTAACATACTGCTGTATCAATATTAAAATGACACTTGGTTGTTTCTGGTATTTTATAGATTTATTCATTGAATCTGCATGGGTTTTCTCATCCCTTGTTTTCCCTCCCAACTTTTTTTTAAAATATATATTTACTGATTTCAGAGAGGAAGGGAGAGGGAGAGAGAGATAGAAACATCAGTGATGAGAGCGAATCATTCATCGGCTGACACCTGCATGCTCCCTACTGGGGATCAAGCCCGCAACCCGGGCGTATGCCCTTGACTCGAACCTGGAACCCTTCAGTCTGCAGGCCGATGCTCTATCCACTGAGCCAAACCATCTAGTACCCTCCCAACTTTACTGATACCTCCCCTGTTCATATGGTGTCCTGTCCCCTTATCTTCTGTTGCAAGCTGATTTCCTAGGGCTCTAGTCAGAAAACCACTATGAGAACCCTGGCCCTACCCTTACATAGTTATGTGAAGATAAACAAATGATTGATTCCCTCAGAGGTTAGTGTCTCCATCTGTAAAAGTAAATGATGACGTTAGAACTGGGTTCTGACTTTCCCCTTGAACCCTCAAGACTTCTGAGCAAGGCCTCACTGTCTATTCGCTCAGGTAAAGGATGGCCTAGACCAGAGTTCCCTGAAACTTCTGAGTGAACTGGTGTTAGGAACGTGCCCGCGTTTCCCAGTGAGACCATCTCTCAAGGACTTTCTTCCCAGTTTGCTGGTGGCTGCCTGTGACCTGCGGAGGGCTTGTTGAAATGCAGCTTGCAGACACTTCACTATAGTACTAGAGTGTATTTGTTGTTCATGTTGTAATTATGATCATTATGACTTTTATTTCCTAGCGAATGAAACTATGTCAATGAAAAATGTTGTATAAATTACGTAAACGAGTACAGCGAAACCAGAGTTTAAATGAAGTGTTCTGATTTCTTATGCCAGTTCTTTTCCTGATGTATTTCAGCGGGTATTAAAGAGTTCGAGTTTGTTGCTCAGAGATATTGTGAGAGTTTAAGAGAGAGTTAGACTTCGTGTGCAGGAATTTCCCTCGATCCCTTACTTACAGAGTCGCCACTTTATCTCAGGTCCCTAGGCGTGGGCGGGTCTTTCCTGAACTTTTGGCTGAGGGTGTTTATGGGAGTGACTCAGAGGCTTGGATGCCCAGCAGGTTGGTGGCCCGCTACTGAGCGCTGGGGGGGTGGGGGTGGGGGGGTGGGGAGGGGTGTCCCCGCTAACGGGGGCTGAGACCGGTGCCAGCTGCCTGCCTCTCCCACCTCCAGCTCTGCTCGGGTCCGTTTTAGCTGCAAGCCCGAGGGGTACAGGAGTTAGTCCTGGTGTGTGATGGGGGTTTGGGGTGGCGGCTAGGGGGGGAGGGGGTGCAGGTGCAGCAGGTGGGAGGTTGGGGGCATCTTGTGGGGCTGGAAGTGGGAATTGTCATCTAATCATCTCAAGGCCCCTCTCTCTACTTTCTCTTTCACTTTACCTCCCTCTCCCCCTCCCCTTCATGCAGACAATTCATAGCTCCTCCATTTGATGTAAATTTATGTGGTGAAATGGAGCTTCAAACCTCCCCCCGCCCCCCCATCCAAATCATACTGCAGCCCCTAAACCCTTCTATATAGAAATTCAAGGGGCAAGTTCAGATACCTTCTGTGACTCCCTGGATGCCAAAACTCTGGGACGGAAAATTTAAAATTTAAATCACTCCTGGTTTCTTTTTCTTTTAAATATATATTTTTTATTGATTTCACAGAGAAAGGGAAAGGGAGGGAGAGAGGGAGGGAGGGAGGAAGGGAGAAAGAGAAACATCAATGATGAGAATCATTGATCAGCTTCCTCGTGCATGTCCCCTCCTGCGGATGGAGTCCACAACCCTGCCTGAACCCTGACCGGGAACGGGACCCCAAACCCTTTAATCTGCAGGCTGATGCTCTATTCACTTAGCCAAACTGGCATGGCCACTCCAGGTCTCTATCCCAGCCTTGCTCTGCACCCCCATGGCCTGTGGCCCACCCGGGGTTCTCCACTGGCCCTTATGTGGTCCCTGCGCCACCAGCGCCCCCCTCGCCCAGGGCAGCGCCTGGATTCCTGGCACCTGAGGCACTGACCCGCCCTTCCCTCCCTTCTCCCAGCCTCGGATTCACCTTGGAGTCCCATCAGCTGCTGCGGACAGCCTGCTCCCTGTTGCTGGCTGCAATTCTCAAGTGCCCTGGGGAGGGAGGGGGAAGGAGTTCTGACTCAGCATAGGTTGTCCTGGGAAGGGTGGGGGTGAGGCTGCAGAAGAGCAAACCTCCCCTGGGAGGGATTTGTTCTGGGTTAGAGTCTGGAGACAAGCCTGTTTCTTTGCAGGAGACACTCAGCCACTGCTCCCTCTGTCTCTTCACCGGAAAGCCGCCCTTTGTGAGTACTGCCCACCCTTACAGATTGGGTAGCCCTCCGGTTTCTCCAGCTGTTATACCCCTCTATCCTTGTCCTTCTCAGGCGGTAAGCTCCCTGCTGGGTTCCTAGAAACTCTTTCCTAGCCCAGCCCCAGCCTGTGGGACCCGAGAAAGATCCCCATCAGATGTGAGCATGGAAACCCTCTCGCTGAGCCTGCGTTCCTCTCCCCTCAGCCTGGACCGCCTCTGTGGTTTAGCCAGTGTGAGCCTTTTTGCCACCATCTGTTTTTACCCAATCCCTGAAAATAAAAACAGACACAAAACAACAAGCCTGCTGTATTGGCGCTGATTTGTAGGTATGGGGGCCTGGTGTATCAGAAACCACTGCAATCAGCTGGGTGAGCAACACAGCCATTGCTCTGGCTTGGAGAAGGGTGTGGTGTTTGTTTGTTTTAATCTATTTTTTTTTTAATATACTTTTATTGACGTCAGAGGGGAGAGGGGGAAGGAGAGGGAGAGGGAGAGGCTCGATCCCCAGTAGGGGGCGTGCAGGCGGCAACTGATTAGTGATTCTCTCTCATCATTGATGTTTCTATCTCCCTCTCCCTTCTTCTCTTAAATCAATAAAAACATACTTTATTTTTTTTTAAAAAGTGTAACATAAATTATAACCCATGGACATAATATTTTTTGGTATATCACATGAAATGGTTGTCTGAGATTATAATAAAATTTGGAAGACATGTTTTGATTTAAAATAGAGGGCATGTTGGATATATGATATAGTAATCGCCTGGACAGAGAGAACAAACAGGTTTCAATAATGAGCCCCAAAAGAAAAGTCACAAGGTACATGATCTAAGTTGCAGAAGTCCATTTTGGATCAGGCAACGTCTTATGTGCAGGGCCGAGACTCAACCTGTAAGATAACATTTATTTGGGAAAGCACAGAGGTAGCAGTAGTTCCCAGGAGAAACGGGCTTAGGAAACATGGGATGGAGGCAAAGGAGAGGCCCTCGGGGCCTTGGAAGGAAGGAAGTTCAAGGTGATGCGTCTGGAGGGATGAGGAACGGAAGAGGAAGGGAAAGGCAGGGGCTGGCTCCCTGGAGGGAGCGTGGGCCTGGTTCTCTCTTATATAAGGGTTTTAGGGGCGATCCCAGGGGCGGATCCGAATAGAATATTCCGCAGCTTTCCAGGTGTGTCCTTTCAGGGTTGTGGTCTCCACTGATGGATTGATCAGTGTCAGGGCAGGGGGGTTATTATTCAGTGCAGCTGGTCCCGAGGTCAGCCATGGTGCTGCTTGCCGGGTTTGGCTGCTTTTCTGGGCCTGAAACTGAATGAAATACACCTGAAGCCTAGATGTTCTCTCCGGGGAGGAAAGGTCAGGGGTCTAAACCCCAATGACCAGGGTATGCGAGGGGAGGAAAGGTCATTCCGAGGACGAGGTCCTACCCTACACATGTCCATGGCTAGGACTGGGGCCTTCCGCCCTGGTGACCTTCTGCATCTGGCCCATCCTCCTTGCTCTGCTCAGGTCTGTCTAACGGCCACCTACAAGAGTAACAGCCCCGGTCTATTTAACAACAGCGACAAGAACAGCACTCATGTCTATCATCATATGGGCCAGGCCCCATTCCTAGGACTTCATCTATCTTCATTCATCTGTGCATAGACATATGATTTTCATTTTAGAAATACTGAGGTTCAGAGGCGTTCATTACATTCACTGAATATACCTAAAAAGTGGTATAATAAAAACACTTCCGAAAAAAGTGGACCTGGCGCTTGAACCAGCCTTCGTTGAGGTTTCCTGTCTAGCTTTCCACCAGGGTCTGGCATTTAGAAGGAGCCTTGCTATGGACACCTTTATCCCCTTCTGTTCCACTTCTTTCTCCTTCCTGGGTCCCCCATTAACCCTCTGAATAGATGTTGATGCCAGAGAGAAGCCCATCGGTATTGGTGTTTGGATAGGTAATCCCCACCATGGCGCTCCATTCATGATGTGTCTTTTCCACAGTAACCCTGTGTCACCATGGTGTCCCCTCCCTGCGGCCTGCTAACCCGCCAAAAGGAGCCGGGTAAGCCTGACTCGTGACTCTGATTTGCCATTGGACCTTTGGCACCTCGCACGATGCCTGGTCAGCCGGAGGCCTTCTGTGAAGGTTGGTGACCTCTTGAACTCTGGTCTATCTCTAGTGCCACTGAAGAGCATCTCGGTGACCTTGTCCATTCGAGAGTTTGTGGCTGGTGTATCTGCTACCTTGAACTATGAGAATGAGGGGAAAGATCCGTTGGAGGCCTTCTTTGTTTTCCCCATGGACGAAGACTCAGCTGTCCACAGCTTCGAGGCCGTGGTGGATGGGAAGAAAATTGTGGCAGAATTGCAGGAGAAGTCCGAGGTATGAGGGATGACTGTATTCCTTCCTCCCTTTTTATGCCCATAATGCATGCTCTTTAGGGTCCCTATCAAATGCAACTGCCCAGAAATGTTGATGTCGAATGCTTTGTTCTCTACTCCCCTCTAACCGGTAACTTTCCTAAAACCATTGGAGGGAAACACCCATCGAAGGCACTCAGGGTTTGGCTGTGAACTTGGCAAGACCCATCACAGGCTCACCCCACCAGTCTTTGCTTCCTGTGCCACTCGTCTCCTCCTCAAGCATGTCCCCTCTCATGTCATGTCACCCGTCTTCCCTTGTCCTCCTTAGGCCCGCACCAATTACGAGAATGCCATCAGCCAGGGCCACCAAGCCTTCTTGTTGGAGGAGGACGATCAGGCTGGCGACATCTTCTCTTGTAACGTGGGGAACCTGCCCCCCGGGTCGAAGGCGGCACTCACCCTGAAGTACGTGCAGGAGCTGCCTCTGGAGGCCGACGGGGCCCTGCGCTATGTGCTCCCCGCTATCCTGAACCCTCGCTACCAACTCTCCAGTGAGTAGACTCTTCCTTCAAATACTCACGGGGAAGACCCCCCTCAGGGTTGTCGGGGGGCTAAACATTGTGGGGAGGGGACACACCACTGAGCTCACTTTCCATAGGAGGGTCTGAGGGCAGTGGCCTTCAAATGAAGAATCCTGCAGTCCCTTCGAAGGACGTGCCTTACACACTCAGCCTGGCTGCCACCGTCAGCTCCCAGCATGCCATCAAGAGTGTCCAGTGCAGCTCCCCCGTGAATCCTATTGAGTACCTTGACGATAAGACTTCTGCTCAGGTAATTAGTGAGCACACGCTGTGGTTGCCAGCACCCCTGTTTTTGGGTCCTGATCTACCTCCCTCCATCTCCTAAATATCGCTAACTTTCCCCTGTTAACCCCGGGGGGAATCGCACTGGGCCCCTTCTTTTTTTTAATATATTTTTATTGATTTCAGAGAGGAAAGGAGAGGGACAGAGAGATAGGAACATCAATGATGAGGGAGAATCATTGATCGGGTGCCTCCTACACGCCCCCTACTGGGGATCAAGTCCACAACCCAGGCATGTGCCCTGACTGGGAATCGAACCCGGGACCTTTCAGTCCCCAGGCCAACGCTCTATCCACTGAGCCAAACTGGCTAGGGCTGGGCCCCTTCTTTATCCTTATTTCATCTCCAGAGCCTCCTGCCTGTTCTCGCCCTTGCTCCTGGCTCTGTTTACATATGGAAGGAGCCGGTAGCCCTCAGCTCTGACCTCAGCTCTGACCTCAGCCCTAGGCAGAGGCACGATGGTTCTAACATGGCTTCTTTGCTTGCTCCCAACTCAGATCTCCTTGGCTGACGGACACAAATTTGATCGAGATGTGGAGCTCCTGGTTTACTACAGTGAGGTGCATACCCCCAGCGTGGCTGTGGAGATGGGGGTGCCCGCAGCAAAGCCCGGTATGTTGCTTCTTCCTTTGTAGTTACCGCCTAAGGTCGTTGAATTACCCTCAAATTACCCTCACTTTTTGTTTTTCTATTCAGTAAAGGGTAAAAAAAAAAGGGGGGGGGACTAGTTTATACTATGGCATGCAGAAATGGTTCCATATTGAATATCATGTGACTATGTCTTATATGTAAATTTTGGTGAATTAGTAGGTACTTAGACAAAGGACATGAAAAAAAAGTTTACAAGGGAAATGCAGCTAGTTTAAAAATATGGGACAATGATCAGCCTCTACAAGTAAAAATAAAAGTAAAATAAAAGTAAATGATGTGACTTTTTCACTTTTAAAATGATCAAGGATTTCCAAATCTGGGAACACCTCATGCTTTAAAAGGTGAGGTGAATTTGGCACTCTTGCAGATTGCTTTAAGCAAAAATAATTTGGAATCAAACTTTGGAGAAGAGATTTGGCGATATGTGTCAAAAGAAACGTTCATTTTAGTGATTCCAATTTTTGGAATCTTACCTAAGGAAATAGATTTAAATGTAAGTAAAAATATACACTAAAATGGCCATTTTCATAATATCAAAGATTAGTAAATAATCAAATGTCTCACAGTAACTTAATTCACTATGCTGGGATTACTTGATGAGTTATTATGCAGCTACCAAAATCATATATGATGACAGATTTAAATAATATAGAAAAAAAGCCTTCTAACAAGGATTAAGTTAAAGAAAAGTAAGTTATACAAACAGATTGCTATAAAAAAATAACCTGTCAATTAAGAAAAACATTTAAAACCACAGGAAATATGCACATAGTAATTATGATTAGATTAAGACTAACTTTACATTCTAAATTTTTTGTTTTACCTAATAAATAACTTTTATTGATTGATTTATCATTCCAACCTGTAATCTCACCTAGAGTTCTTTGTTCTTTTTTTAATTGTGGTAAAATTTATCTGACATAAATTTTAAGTAAAAAGAAAACTAATACTTTGGTATAAAATTTACATAACGGAAATTTTACCATTTTAATTATTTTTAACGATATAGCTCTGTTGCCTTAAGTACATTCACCATGTTGTAAATATCACCCTTATCCATCTTCAGGGTTTTTGTTTTTTTTTAATCTTAACCTAGTTTCTTAATTTCTAAGCCTAAGTTTAGTTTCTTACTAGGTTTAGTTTTTAAATTTCTTTAATTTATCTTATTTTCCAAGTTTTCCTTAGTATATATCTACTTTTCCTGTTATTTTATTTTTTTTTGTTTATTTGTTTTTATTGATTTCAAAGAGAGGAAGGGAGAGACAGAGAGAGAGAGAGACAGAGAGAGAAACATCAATGATGAGCATAATCATTAATCTGCTGCCCCCTACACACCTACTGGAAATCGAGTCTATGACAGGGGCATGTGCCCTCATTAGGAAGTGAACCATGACCTCCTGGTTCCTAAGTCGCTGCTCAAACACCAGGCCACAAGGGCTGGGCTGTGTACTTCTTCTTCTTCTTTTTTAAAAAAAAATATATATTTTATTGATTTTTTACAGAGAGGAAGGGAGAGAGATAGAGAGCTAGAAACATCGATCAGCTGCCTCCTGCCCACACCCCACTGGGGATGTGCCCACAACCAAGGCACATGCCCTTGACCGGAATCGAACCTGGGACCCTTCAGTCCGCAGGCCAACGCTCTATCCACTGAGCCAAACCGGTCAGGGCTGTACTTCTTCTTTTAACTGTACTGGTGTAACACATGTCAGGGCCCGCTGTCTCGGGCCTCCCTGAGCTGCCATGGCCCTGGACTACAGAGATCATGAAGCGTCACTGGAAAGATATTGACACTTCTGAAGCATTTCCCACTTTGGTGGAATGACGCATCCTTGGGGACAATCATAGTCAAACACAATGTCTTGGTTTAGGCTCTTACTTTCATAGCTACCACTGCTTTAAAGATATGTAGCTATAGTTGATCTTCAATAGGCCATTTTTCTTATCTCATTGTTGACGTTTGGCCAAGGTAACTTCACACTCCAGCTCACAAATTGGAACTCCTTAATTTGCCTTCACTCGTTTAACCATTCCTGCCCCCCTCATCCCCTTCCCAACCGCCCCCCTGCTCAGGGCAGGCCGTCCAGGCTAAACCTGTTAGAGGGGGTCCCAGCCTCAGCCAGGTTTGCTCCAGCTCCTGTTCCCTGAAGCTCTGAGCTCTGTCTTTGTACATTATTTGCCTGGTTTTGTCCTTCCCTTTGGGCGAGCTCCCCCTTGTGTGCCCAAGAAGTACTCCCACAACAGTATGTATGTTTTTAGTTCCTTTTCATCTCATGGTGTCCTTATTCTTTCTGAGTAGATTCTTTGATGGGAGATCCATCTGCGATGGTGAGTTTCTACCCGAATATCCCAGAGGCTCAGTCATCAACTGCATGTGGAGAATTCGTCTTCCTCATGGACCGCTCGGGAAGTATGCATTGTCCCATGAATAATCAGAATCCATCTCAGCTGCGCATACAGGCAGCCAAGGTAAGACTAGTTCTTTTTCTGCTCATGTGCTCAAGTAAGGGTGAGTCTCCGGGATTAAATTAGAGTCCATCTGGGTCATCTGGATCAGTGTTTCCAGCTGCACTGCAGCTCACGTGACCACTGCGAGGACTATAAGACTGGGAGGCGCGCTCTGGGTGAAGGCCCACACCCGCAGGAGTTAGATGGGGAGGGTCTGTGTGTCTTCAAGGGTCCTCTCTCACTCGCTCCCCATACACTCTTCCTTCAGGAAACACTGATTTGGCTGCTGAAGAGTTTGCCTGTAGGCTGTTATTTCAACATCTTTGGATTTGGATCGTCCTTTGAGTCCTTCTTTCCGTAAGTTTCTAGAAAGGCTACAGAGAATTCAAAAAAAGATCCTCTAGAGCAGCGGTTCTCAACCTTCTGGCTCTTTAAAACAGTTCCTCATGTTTTTACTCCCAACCATAAAATTATTTTCGTTGCTACTTCATAACTGTAATGTTGCTACTGTTATGAATCATAATGTAAATATCTGATATGCAGGATGGTCTTAGGCGACCCCTGTGAAAGGGTCGTTCGACCCCCAAAGGGGTCGCGACCCACAGATTGAGAACCGCTGCTCTAAAGAAAGGACTATATTGTTAAAGGGGTTACGGTAGAGTTGACCTTGACACTGGGGAGTTCAGGTGAGGTTGTTTATAGTGGTGGGGATCTCAATGCGGGGGATGTGATACTGGGCAGTGTCAGCTAGCTATGTCCCTGCATGTGTTTGCTTTACTCAGGGAGAGCGTGAAGTACACTCAGGATACCATGGAGCAGGCCCTGAAGAGAGTTAAGAGTATGGACGCTGACCTCGGGGGCACAGAAATCTTGGAACCACTCAAGGCCATTTACAGTAGAACTTCCATCTCAGGCCACCCTCTCCAGGTAAGAATAGGAACAGAGCTCACAGAAAGGGGGGAGAGAGAACTCAACTTCGGTTCCAGAATGTATAGCCCTGAGTTTCATTGTAGGATTGTCCCAACTGGGTGTGCATTTCAGAGTTGTCTGTCATGTAGTAAAGGGGAAAACACAAAAGGGATTTCATAGAAACCCTCTTCCTTAGCTCCATGCTCCGAACTGTGGAGGTGGAAGCTCTCTTGTGGAATGCCACAGAGGCCTGAGGTGAGACTGGGAGGGTGAGGAAAATGCCCAAAACCATGTGAAAACCTGATGCAAGTGACAGTGGCCCATAGGGATTTCACACGTGTCCGAAGAGGCATCAGTGTCTCCGGCATGAAATAGTCGAGTTTTTCAAGGGCAAATTGCGGTATTTTAAAAATGAACTTAAAAAAAGAAAACGTGAACTTCATAGAGACTTGACCAATGTCTTCTGTGTTCAGCTTTTTGTCTTCACAGATGGAGAAGTGACCGACACATTCAGTGTCATTAGAGAAGTGAAAAGCAATGGGCATAGGCACAGGTATGCAGACAATGTGTGTGTTTCTGGGTGACTGACCACATGTAATCTAGGGCCTTGTGGTTCCAGTGCTGACAAGTAAGGATGGACAGGAATACTGTGGGGTTATTTCGGCTTCTTTTTGAATAAAAGTTAATGTTACACAGTTTTTATTCTATGTATTTTGCTTCTTTCCCCCAACAGTATATAGTCACCCATATTTTGCATGGAATCATAGTTAATTTTCACTGGGGTATAGTACTCCACAGGATGGCTAAACCATAATTTATTGATTGATTCTACTGCTGATGGACTTCCATTTAGCTGTTTAAAATAATGCTTTTATGAATATCCTTGTATTCTTATACATGTATATTTTTGCATACACACACTTGTGTGTGCACCTCTATATGCATATATACATATTCATTTTCACATGTGTA